TACTCCCTGCTCTGGAAGGAGGGGGTTTTGTTCAAATTAAGATAAAACAGGAAGCAAAACCGAATTCCAGTATTTTTCTTGGTTTTGAGGCAAACAGAATTCCTTTTTTTTTTTCCTTGAGAATTCTCATTGCTAATTCATTAGAGATTATTACATAGAGAGCCGCACTTTACTAAGGAGGGATAACTTTCCAGTGAAACTCTTTTTCAGGTGATAGGAAGCTTAAGAAATGTGCCTGCCTTCTACAGACGTTCTGGTGAGCTTCATTTTAAAAAAAAAAAAAAAAAAGAGAGAGAGAGAAAAGCCACAAATAGAAAACAGCACAAGCATCACCCTCATCCTCCTCCCCCAGGTTTAGGCTCTGGAGCATGAGTTTGACTCCTGCTGTTTGCATCACACAGAATCATAAGAAGTAGGTGAAACTGATGAAGACTTAGAGACAAAGAATAGGTAGGTGGTGTAGTAACACAAGACACATTTCCTTTGAAAACTAGATGAAGGAAATTTTCATCTAGAGAAGGAAGAGAGAGAAGGAAGCATTCTCCATGATTTAAAACCAGTTCGGGGCCATTTGGAGTTTTAAAGATATCTGGAGCTGGTGTTTGGTTATATGCAAGACTCTCTTCAAATGACAGTGGATTCAGGTGGATGGGTGCAGTAGGTCCCGAAGAAGATGCAGTGCCCAAGGCCAATGGAGACAAGCTTGCTTGCCTGGGGAGGACCGCCTGTAGTGCTAGGCATCCATCGGCTCCCGTGGCAAGCCCCTGCCTGCCTCTAGGAATGGCTGCCTGAAAGCCATCAGGGCTTGACACGTGCTAAGCATCTCGATGACACTCTATTCCTTTGCTTTCCACAAGTCTTCTCTGCTTCTCGAATCACCCCAGACTCTTTCTTTTTTGAATCACTGAATCTCAGAAGGAAGGTTAGAAAGCTAAAAGTGCTCATAAATTTCTTGAAAAGTTGAAGTCAGTATAGTCATTGTCAAGAAGTGGATACAGATAATTTCTTTGGAGGAGAAACAAGATTTTTCTCAAAACACAATTCTTATACTGTACTGTGCTGTGCTTGTGCTGTTTGATGCCCTCGTTATTAATGGACTCTACTATATTTGCTTAGCAATATTATTAATCAGCAACATTAAAATGTGTTTAATAATCAGCCAGTTATTCTGGACCTTTAAATTGAGTTGTCTTATTTTTGCCTCCTCATTCAGAGAGATTCACACCTCTTGAAAACACCTTTTCATTAAACCGAAGTAAAAGTATCCTGCCCTAAGGAGAGTCCAGGAGGATTTTTTCTAAACAATGAAGCATCCTTAGAGCAAACAATTAAGAGTAAATTGTTCAGGGCCTTTGAATTACTTACCTTGGAAACAAAGCAAAACCCACAAAACAACATTCAGTTTTCCAGGATTTGAATAATGAATTATGTTAACGGAGGGAAGAGGAAAGCAAAACATTTCAGAAGCCCTAAAAGTAATATATTGTTACTTTCAACAGTGTTCTCTCAGGAAAACAGTATTTCTATCATATTCCTATGTATACTAAAGTGCTAAATATAATCTCTGGATTGAACATTAATAATTCTCCAGGTATCGGTTGGACTACACTCTTTAGTGGATTAACTGTTCTCAAAACTGTTGTCGTCCCCCCCCCCCCCCCCCACACA